TATAACACTATCAGTAGGTCGTTAAGGATGATACCCCCCCCTCCCCTCCTTTCCCCAAACCCCTACTAATAATATTCCGCACTATTATGCCCATTTTATTTGGCGTTCACTTGGTGTGCTATACTTTTTTCTATGGGATTTTATTCTATTTTAAAAAGTTTAAGTATTCAAAATGAATTAAAAAGCATGGCTATATCCTAAATACCAAGCAACACTTCCTAGATGAATCAACCTCATCTGATTCTGCTGGTAGAACTGTCAGGCATTAATAATAATTACAAAATATTGACCAGTGGAGAGTATGAAAACTATACCACAAGTTGTTGGTTTGGAAAATCGGAATCCATCAGATAAAATGATTGTTTTCCAAGCGCAAATGGGAAATGATTAGTATACACAGTGGAATATTCTGAATCACTGCCTTAGAATAGTATGCTCAGCATGAATAACTAGGACAGACTATTCAAACCCAGGTTTTAAATCCCTGATTTTCCCACCTAAATTAAATTTTAGCATTCACTCTACCTCCTTTATTGTTTTTTTTAAACAGCACCAACTCTTAGAATGCAACAGCAGATGGTTAAGTATAATTTTACAAATATAAACCAGAAGAAAGTTAATATTTTAGTTAGACGACAACAAATCTGGACAAGCTCAGATTGCAATGGTCTTGCTATGATGTATGCTATACGGTATACGAGTATACGCCTACACTATTCACATCTAAACCAAAGTGAACTCACAGTGGCCCTAGCTAGACCATGTCGATATTTTTCTCGTGCTAACGAGTAAAACGTTAGCGGGGGTAAATGGAGCAACGATGTTTTTAAATGGCGTGTTTAAAAATCTAAACCTTGAAATGATATAAATTAAAAAAAAAACACACCTATGCAAATAACAGTTAAAAGAAATCGCCTTGAGGTGTGTGTGGAGGGGGGGGGGGTAGGGAGTGAGTGAGTGGGAGGTAGTTACATTAACTCAACTGACCAGTCGTATTTCCCTATATAAATTATCTTCTATATATATAATTCTCTTCTGGGAGCCGTTAGAAAACAAGCTGCAAGCGCGCGCCTTGCAATCCCCTCTCTTCCTCTCTATCGCTAACACCTCCACCCCCCCCCTGACATGGTCACATGGTCAGGTGAGTTGTAGTTCACGCTAAATGTTTAGTTTGGTGACGGCTATTAGGGGCAGATAATTCAGTTTGAAGCTATTTTAAACTTAGAGGAGGTAACTAAGAGGAGACTGCTTTCAGGGGGGGGGGGGCGGATGGGGGTTTAGTGTTTTAAAGCAAATATTTTCAGTGGCAGCATTGGTACTGTCGAATTCACAAATTATGAATTACTGAAAAGTAGAAAAACAACTAAATAGCGGCGTATAATATAATATTTGTATTTTATGTCAAAAACAGGGTAATTTCAACACAAATTTTAGGGTACTAAACCTCTTTACATTTGGCTAAAAATAACGAGCCTCATCTGCCCGAGGCAATTGACTCCGATTTCAGCCTGCTTTTCTTTTTGGATTTGCTTCCATAGCCTTTGTCCAACCAAGAACAAACTACAAGGCAGCAGTTGTTTAATTTTGGAGTTGTCTCTCCTAGAAGAGTGGCTGTCCCCAGCTAACGAGCCTCATCTGCCCGAGGGTTCGAACTCGAGACTTTTCGGTTTAGCTTTACCGACTCGACCACGCCGACCCCATAGAGTATGGATAAGACAGGTTACTATAGACGGGGCTATTTGGGGCCCCGGGCCTCCCGTGTTCGGTTTGGCGCCTACGTTCGTTTAAGTGAGTGCAAAAGACTATGAATAAGTTGGGGTATTATAGTCGTTTATTAAGCTGAAACAGTCGAATCCGGGCTAGACTGTGAGCACTTTGCGTTTATGTTCGCGTTAGTGTTTTCTTTGTGTTTAGGTTGGGTTTGCGTTAGTGATTGCGTTTTGATTTGGTTCGTTTGTGTTTTTTTTCTTTGGGTTTGTGTTTGTATTTGGTTTTGCGTTTGGATTTGGTTTGTTTTCGTTTGCTTTTTCGTTTGTGTTTTTTCTTTGGGTTTGTGTTTGTGGTTGGTTTTGCGTTTGGATTTGGTTTGTTTTCGTTTGCTTTTTCGTTTGTTTTTTTCTTTGTGTTCGTATTGGTGTTTGTGGTTGTGTTTGTTGTTAGGTTTTTGTTTTCGTTTGTATTTGTTATTGTGTTTGCGTTTTGGTTTTGGTTGGTTGTGGTTTGGGTGGGCAATGCCGGGTTTATGATGATTACTAAACACACAGGTAATGGTCTTTAGTAGAAAGTTTTTCACAGAAGCCAGAGCAGGGCCTGGCCGGTTAGTATATATATATATATATATATATATACATTTAAATAAATTATAAAAAAGTATACTGATACACAAGAATACATAAAATTATGTGAGAAACAATGGTTCTATAAAAAAAAAATTAAATTAATATAATATAAACATTTATTTCTGAAACTGCATTGTACAAGATCAATTTTGCAACAAAAACGTCATCGAACCTACCATGGTGTAGAAGACATAATTTCTTCATCTGTTACATATACATATGTATATATTTATATAAATATACAAGGTAATCTTAAATGATGATTAATGACATCCATTCTTACCTTGAAGTGCGTTTTCTTTTGTGTGAATATTTATAAATTATTGTTGAAAAATTTAATAAAATTAATTTTCAACTTTGCATTAACTTCATTATTAGTGACATCACACAAATGAAATACAGGCTGATGTTACAAATCTTTACAACAATAATCCTCAAAATTTAAAGAAGTTTAAAAAAAAACCATTGTATCTGCTAATTTTTAAAATGAAATGTTAAAATAACCAGTAGACCCAGGGGCGTAGCGAGGGGGGGGGGGGGGGGGGGAGGCTGACCGCACCGGGTGACACCATTTAGGGAGGTGACACCAAGGCAAAAATAGCCAAATATATAGAGAAAAACTTGAGGAGGGGTGCAAATCGAAAGTTTGAGGGGGCGGTGCAAATCGAAAATTTAAAAGTTTGTCCCCGGGAAGGGCCGCTAGGACTCTGGGGGGGGGGGGGTGACACCATTTAGTGCCGCACCGGGTTACACCCGACCTCGCTACGCCACTGAGTAGACCTATTACTTTCTATTACAAAAATACTAGAATGATGAGGATTATAGGCCTATCCTGTATAAGACACCTATTGACCATCTTTCTAAGTATAGTTTTTATGACAAATGTCACTTTCAAGTGGCCTAAGCCCAGAATGACACTTTTGATGTCGATATAAATTAGACTTATAGGCAAATTTTTTATGCCACACATCACATTCATAAGGTCTTAATTTTAAATGAATCTTTTCATGTATAAAGAACTTTGCTGACTAAACTTTTTATGACACAAATCACATTCATGTCTTTTGTCTCCTGAATGAATCTTTTCATGTAAAGATAAATAACTTTGCCGACTAAACATTTTATGGCACACATCACATTCATATGGCTTATGTCCAGAGTGAATAATTTTGTGTGTATTTAAACTAGATTTATGAGCAAACTTTTTATGATACACATCACATTCATATGGTTTCTCATGTAAATGAGTCTTTTTATGCTGAGATAAATGACATTTAAGATTGAAACATTTCTAACAAACATCACATTCATATGGCTTGAGATTAGAATGTGTATTTTTATCGTCAGATAAATTACTCTTCATAGTGAACTTTTTATGACACACATCACATTAATGTGGTTTTATTTTTGCATGAATATATTTATGTTGAGATAAAAGATATTTATTATTAAAATTTTAATGACACACATCACATTCATAAGGCTTAAGTCTAGAGTGAATAATTTTGTGTCTATTTAAATGAGATTTATAAGCAAACTTTTTATGACACACATCACATTCGTTGCATCTGTCTTCAGGATGTAATTTATGCAGAGAAAACTTCTTGATTATTTTCATTAGCTGTTTTGCATGACTGTTCATAGCACCTTGTTGTTGATGAAAATCATACCCATATGAATTCTTTCTTGTGTGAGTTTTCATATGTTGTGTAATATGATCAAAGTGAGTAAAGCTTTGACAACACATATCACACTTATATGTCTCCAGTCCCTTATCCCTGAGCTCATACATTGTTGGAAAATTATCAATAACTTCTTTATGCAATTCCTTGAGTTCTTTTTAATTAAACTTTTTATGACACACATCACATTCATATGGCTTCTCATGTAAATGAGTCTTTTTATGCTGAGATAAATACCTTGTAAGATTGAAATGTTTCTGACAAAAATCACATTCATATGGCTTGAGCCATGGTGGATTAGGTAATTAACAGTAGTAGTTAAAAAATTGAAGCTAATCAAAAATGCTGTTAGATAAGCATATACCTAGACTACTACTCATGCTACAATAGTGGCAAAGAAATTGGGTTCAGGATATGTAGATTTCCTTTATACAAAAACATAAGCATTTAGTATGTTTTATCAGCACTTTTGGTGAAATTCATAAAAACCACACCATTAAATATGGCTTCCTAAGAACCAGACTTTTCCGATTCCACTTTATAAAATGTTTACAAAAAAGCTTGAAATTTAGCTTTCCTTAACATTTCTATGTAAAGCATTTGGAGATAGAAATGAAATGGTTGTATAATTAAAGAAGGAGAAATTTTTACCATGACCCTTTGTCAGATTTAGAATAAAATCCTGTAGAAATCTTAAAGAAAGTGAAAAATGCAGTCCGAACAGTTTGTCAAATTCAAACATATCATACCTAACCATCTATACAGATAGATATATATAAACTATAACCATATATTATATCAATTTTAGTTTTAATATAAACAATATATTTGCTTCAATTTATATGTAGAAATTGATTACATTCTTTCAAATATATTGTATCTTTCCATCCATTTGTTTATATATATATAAAAATATAGGAGGTATTCCTATATATATATATATACTTTTAATAGCCATCATAGAAATGATCTCAAATAATTAAAACAATAATCCTAACAAATTAAACACTTAAGTTAAAAAACACCAGCTTGTATTTGCTTATCTTTAAAATAAAATGTCTAGATAACCAATATATTTGTATTACTCTCTAGAACAAATTATACTATGATGAAGACTATATCATGTATGCAACACTTAACAACAATGACAATTTTTTTAATGATAAACACCAAATTCAAAGTTATGTGTTCTGTATCCACATTGTGACCTCAGTGCAAAATTCATCATTTTAGCATAAAGATTAGTGGTCCTTTAGAACAAAAATTTTATGACCAACATCAAATGGAGGTGACTAATTTCCTGAATGAGACTTCTTATGATGAGAAAGAGAAGATTTCCAAGAAAACATTTTATGACACACATCACATTCATGTAGAACGCCTGAATGAGTCTTTTTATGCTCCAATAATTCACCTTTCCGAACATAGTTTTTATGACAAACATCACATTCATGTGGCCTGAGCCCAGAATGAGACTTTTTATGTTGAGATAAACCTGACATATAAGCATACTTTTTATGACACACATCACATTCATATTGTTTCTCATGTAAATGAGTCTTTTTATGCTGAGATAAATACCTTTTAAGATTGAAACATTTCTGACAAACATCACATTCATATGGCTTGAGATTTGAATGTGTTTTTTTATGGTCAGTTAAATGATACTTCCAAGTGAACTTTTTATGACACACATCACATTCATGTGGGTTTAGTCCATAGTGAATATTTTTATGTTGAGATAAATCAAACTTCCGAGCAAACTTCTTATAACACACATCACATTCATAAGGTCTTAATTGTAGATGAATATATTTATGTTGAGATAATTGAATTTTTCGAAAAAACACTTTATTGCACACACCACATTTATGCAGATGAAGTCCAAGATGAATTTTAATATGTCTAGATAAACTAGTCTTTTCAGTAAATTTTCTATGACATAAATCACATTCATATGGTCTGTGTCCTAAATGTTTATATTTATGTACTTCTAAATAACCTTTCTGACTAAACTTTTTATGACACACATTACATTCATGTGGTTTAATTCCAGCATGAATATTTTTGTGCATAATTAAACTATTCTTCTGAGCAAAGTTTTTATGACACACATCACATTCATGTGGTCTTCTTAGTGCATGAGTATATTTATGTTGAGATAAAATAGATTTATGATGAAAACTTATATGGCACACATCACATTCATATGGCTTATGTTCAGAGTGAATAATTTTGTGTCTATTTAAACTAGTTTTATGAGCAAACTTTTTATGACACACATCACATTCATTGCATCTGTCTTCAGGATGTAATTTATGCAGAGAAAACTTCTTGTTTACTTTCTTAAGCTGTTTTACATGCCTGTTCATAGCACCTTGTTGCTGAGGTATATTATACCCATATGAATTCTTTCCTGTGTGAGTTTTTATATGATGTGCAATAAGATGAAAATGAGTAAATCTTTGACAACACATCTCACACTTATATGTCTTCAGTCCCTTATCCCTGAGCTCATACATTGTTGGAAAATTATCAATAACTTCTTTATGCAATTCCTTGAGTTCTTTTAAATCATGATGAAGATCTGATTTTAAAACTGTAAAATTTTCAATAAAAGCATCTGAATCTGGTAAATATTCAAGCTGTCTTTTAACATCTAAGCTATTTTCGTTTTCACCCTTAAATGTTAAAAATGTTAAGATATCCTTTTTCATAACATCACACCTTAAAAATTCTGTTGAAACATTTGGTTTTATATCTTTAGAATAAGAAAATGTTTCATCTGATTGTTGATCTTCTGAAGTTGAAGATGCAACTGTTTCATTTGACTTGTCTTCAAAAGGTGAAGATTGTGATGATATATTTTGTTTGACAACATTTGAAATTGAAGTTAATGTTAAATTTGGTTTCACATCTTCTAAAGTTGAAATAGCCAATGTTACATCTGATTTTAAATCCATAAATTGTATTGTTTGGTCATTTGATTCCTGTTTAACCACAATTGCACTTTGTATAGACATGGCTGATTTTCCCAGTCTGTTCTGCAAAAATTTAAATAGATGGCTAAAAAAGAGAAAATAAAAATAGACATGAAAGGTGTTCTAAACATCAAATACTAGGATATATGTATTTAACAAAACCATTGCGCAGCATTGCAATTGTGCAGCCTTGAGGGAACATAGCTAGTGATATTGTGTAATGTTTAAACAGCCTTCCTAAAGACATAATGTAGTTCTAATAGTAATATATACATACATATATATCCTCTTTCAGCTCTAGATGCAGTTTTTTTTTAAGGTTTAAAATTTTGCCGAACATTCTTCCCCTTAATTATAATTTTGGGGTAGTTAGAATCAGGCGGTACAACCTGTCTATTTTTATAGTGCACATTGTATTTAATTTCGTTATTATTCTAATACAAACTATTAAATATATACAGGGGTGCCACTCATTTTTTAAATTAATCCTGAAAATCAATCCCAAAATCTTACGAGTCCGAAACTTAAAATTTTTAAACCCTAAACTAAACTTCGCAAAGAATTTCAAAATAAAATGGATTAGCCAACTGTTAAGTAACAAATGTTTTGCAAACTTCTTATCTTGCTATTGAATAATAAGCCCACTATTTGCACGACCCCTAATAAGATTGTCACTGCAGACTTTAATTATCAACAGCCAAAACAAAAACCTATTACCCAATTAACCACCAATGGCGTCATTAATAAATGATGTCACGCTTTCTTTGAACGATTTTTATCTCCCCCCTCCCCTCAATAACAAAAATCCAGACCCTGCCCTCTAAAAGCGTACCAGCCTGTTTCTCAATGGTGATTACGTCATGTCTAAAAATAAAAGTTCAATCTAATAATGGCACATACACTAGCACCAATTTGGTTGAGTCTAGATTAGTATTTAGAATTTTTACAAAGCTCAAAGTTGACCAATTTTTACGTTTGGTCTTCATTATTGGGAGCAAACTTAAATTTTTTTCCTGGCATAGATAGTACTATCATCTAAAAATAACTTGAATTACACAGAAAAACAACCATATTTCATGAAGTAATTATTTTTAAAGTTAATGTTGACTTGAACAAAGCAAAAAAATTGTCAAATTGTATGCCATATGTATGAGGTAGCCATATTGTTGTTAGCAACGACCAATCCTTTTTAGGCTTGTGAGCATCGCTAGAGTAACTAACACTATCTGATAGTATTACTCGGAGGCGTGGCCGGTTGCTAACAACAATATGGCGTACAGACTGGATGCATGATTTCCGACGATTTTTCGTCTTAGTTCCAGTTACCATCTTAGAATTACTGTTTAAAATGTTTACCACGAGCAAAATGGCGGGATTTTCGTGTTATAACAAACCATAGGTGGCAGGGTTAGATATGCCAGAAAAGCATTTTAAAATTTAGTTTGGAGAAAGGAGGTTAAATTCAAAAGTTGGTTTCATTAAAATTGATAGACTTTGAAAAATATCAACTTTGTAGTTACAAAAATGAAAATAGAAGTAAAGCATTATTCAGGGTTCATGCTCAAAAGTTCAAATAAAATTCCAGGAGTTTTCCAGGAGTTTAAAAAAAATTCAAGGAGATTTTAAAAACAAAAATAAACCCAATTTGTACATTTAAAAAAAAAGCGTACTTAGTAATATATTTAATTAGCTAAGCCAATGCAAAATTTAATTTCAGTAAAAGTAAAACAATATATTAGTTACATATTAGGATAGAGGCTATCAATCTGACTACAGACCAGTTTGAATTTTCAAAATCTGACCATAAACAAAAAAGTTATGATTTTTTTTTTGTCATTAAAAAAAATAGATTTTTCAAACAAGCGGGATAGACCCTGAAAGAGGAAAAATACTGGGAGGGTATGGACCAAATTTTAAAGAGTTTTTCACTATAAAAGAGGTATAAATGCAAGTAGACTTCACCAATTAATATCATTTCTTGATATTTTATTGATTTTTGGATGCCAAATCCAATGATGCTAGGCTAGTCGGCCAACCCGATGAACGTGTCAGACGAATATTATGTAATTTCAGAGACAAAAGTCTGGCAAGATTTCTTGATCTATGCCCAAGGATTAGTAACATCAGCTCCACAAAGTGAAGGGGGAAGGGAGGTGGGGTATGAAACCACCGTACGAGTGTTACACAACATCAAAGGCGCCGACCGTCGGCTTGTCGCGTCACGGAGTAGTGGGGGCGGGTTGAGGTTATGGATGTTACATTGGGTGTTACATACCGTGTAGGATGGTCAGTGTCTTCCCCCACCAACCCCAGCCCATTTTGGTCGATTTGGCAAGCCAGTATTAAGCGTATTACAATTATTAGTCAACCGAAAAGAAGAGCCACTGGAAAAATTTAATTTATTTTCTATAGCCATTTTTACGAAAAATTAATGTATAAAATAAAATAATGAAACGTTACGCAAATCAGCATTGTTTGATCGGGTCGCAGCTATCCGGGTTTTTTAAAGAAGATTAATTTTGACAATTAGTCCTGAGCCGTAAATACTACTACAACTTTTTTTTTGCTGTTTCAATAGTTTAAGACAAAGTATTGAAACATGCCTGTCTACTTTAAAAATCCAATAGCCGACAAGTCAAACACGGGAACACATGTATCTATCTTTAGAAATTGTTTATAGTATCATCCAATCGGGTCAATCGCCTAGCGTCACGTGATCACACACTCGGCTGTGCCACACGGTGTGTAGATCACGGCAGTGCGATTCAGTCGGACGACGGCCGATGCGTTTATTTTTATTTTCGTCCCATTTAAAAACTACTATTCAATTATTGGCGGAACAAAATCAAATAATTTCGGTCGGATTTTGCGCCGCGGGTTAATAAAATTTCATGAGATTTCAGGGGATTTTTAAAATTTCAGGAGAATTCCAGGAGGTTTTTATATTTTTTCAAATTCCAGGAGAATTCCAGGATATTTTTACGTTTTTTAAGATTCCAGGAGTTTTCCAGGACCTCCTGGAATTTCAGGAGGCCGCACGAACCCTGATTATTAAGTCTATGTAAAAAGAAAGCAAATTAATTTTCAAATTTTTATCACTAAAAATAAAATAATAACAAGCAAATTCTGTTTTAATGAAGGTCACGGGTCAAGTTTATTTTTTCCTTCTGTCAAGTTCAATGGAGGGTGCCACAGACTGACCTGACTTTGGAATTTTTTTCAGTAATAATGACTTTGCACAGAAAGTTAAAATATGCTAAATTAGCTAAGTTTACTTGTGTTCTAGCTATTAATGATACATTTATAATTAAAAAATCATTCTGTAATTCTCATCAAAAAGCCTATTTAGCCGGTTCGTTGCTTAGATGGCTGGATTGACCTCTCACCCTGAAACGTCACACGTCGTTTTCTGACGGTATTTACGTTTATTTTAGGGGTCCTATCCACGACGAATGAAAAAACTGTTAATCTTGCAAATTTTCATCATTATTTTAATGCAACATGCTAATAAAATCGATAATATGCCTTAGAATGCCAGAAAAAATGGAGAGATGAGAGGATTTCTAGTGGAGCGCTCTCCGTAAAAACTGAACTGCCGCTAAAAAAGACCGACCTCCGGGTAAAACGGCCCGACAGACTCTAAAATAATATATAATTGAGTTATTTACCTTGTATATTTACATTATTATTGATTCTGCTTTCCAAAACCGTATCCCAAAATGAGGTACCCACGCTGACATTTCTATCCGCTATTTTTAGTATCATGATGTCATTGTTACGCTAGTTACCTCACAGAAACAACTAGTTTTTGTTTTTGCGGAATGAACTGTTAAGTCTAGTATTTTAATTATAATTCAATTGTAGCATGTGCGGAAAAAGTAAAATTATGGACATTATTATTGTATTAGTAATTTTATTAGTATATTCATTTTTTCTTCACTGTGGACCGACAGTTGCTGCATTCGTGACCGGTGGTTAACCTCGTCAACGCTGCGTGGCCTATTCGTTTATATAATCAGTGATGCTCGTTCAGTGGCCTTTTCAGAGCTAGGCCTAATTACCGGCGATTTTTAGACTTAATTGATCGGCCGTTAGCCTTTTTCATTGCTGCGTATTTTAAAAAATGCTCGTTCAGCGGCCTTTTTTTGCGCTAAATTATCTGTTTACGGGCATTTTAAGCATTTATTTATTTATTTTTTAAGCTAGACGTAGATCTAGTTAAAAAATTTTTTTTTTATATAGCTGGCTGTCTAGCATGCCTGATATGTGAATTTTAAAAAAAAATGACAGAACTTTAAAAAAAAAAAAAAATGACCAGAAGTAGGGAAGTAGGTCTCATTTTCAATTGGCTAGAAGAAGGGGGAGGGGGGGGGGAGATAGAGAGAGAAGTGAAGACACCGACCATCTCGTGTACGCGTGTTCATTCTATGACGTGTACTATAGGCCTGCTGAACTCACAGTGACCCCGCGACCGTGGTGGGATTTTTCATCCACAGGATAGTAAACGTAAGCAAGCAATCACGCGAGTGACGCTGTTTGGAGATTTTTTTTTTTTTAAATCACATATGTCATGTTTTCAAGATGAAAAAAAACAATGTAATGTAAAAAAAAATACTACACTGTTGACTCAATATAATGTGAATTGAGTGTAAAATGTATCTGTATTTATAAACTATCATAACTAGTACTATCATATTATTTTAAGCATATTTATTATTTAAAATTATAATTTGCAATAAAAATATTTATTATGGTCATTTGATTTATGCAGGTGTTCATTATTTCATAAAATGGTATGAATAACATGTAGAATAGAATTAATAATAAAATACGAAATAACTACGCGTCTCGCAAAGCGTGGCCCCTAAAGAATATACTACGCGTCTCGCAGGTTTGATTTACCATCTTGTAATTGAAAATGCTTACTTTAGAAATTTCTATCACAACCGCTGTGGTTGAGTCAAAAGTGAGCCAGCTGTAGTCTGAAATTCGTAGACCCGGAGTTAGAGTTCGAACCCGGGTTTTTTTTTTTACATTTTTTTTCATATTGAAAATATGACGTAGACTATGATTTTTTTTTTAAATAAAACTTCCAAACATCGTCACTGTCGTGATTGCTTGCCTTGCGTTTACTATCGCATGAGTGGAAAATCCCACCACGGTCCACGGTCGGCGAGGTCACTGAGTTCAGCAGGCCTAAAGCATACGTCATAGACGTTCACACAAGATCGTCTGTCTTAACTTCTCTCTTCCTCCCACCCCCCCCCCCCCACTCAAGCAAATTGGATTTTTTTTAAGTTCACGTAGGATAAATAATATAGACTTAGATCTACTATCACGCATGCTAGATAGCTAGGCCTAAAGGTTAAAGGAGTTTGATTTAGCTAGGTTGCTGCTAGATCTAGGACTATCATGATATCATCTGACCTCACAAACTTCCCTTGACACTACAAGACTATACTGCACTGTTATTTTTTACAAGTACTAGACTCTTAGGTGTTGAAATAATATAGAGATCTAAAAAAAACACTTAAACTCGATCTAGATCTATGTCAACATTTAATTGTTACCACGAAAAAAATATTGGGCAGTCCACTGATATCTGTTTTTTTAGATCGCGTGCCACCTAGGGTAAAGATTAAGCGTAACGCGGAGCGAACCGCGCAAATGCGGCCAATAAAATAACTAGATCTAGTTTTATTATCAACCAGTTGCTTTTTGTTATTTTCCGGTGAGTAAATAACCTAAGCTGACGTAATTACCATGGCGGGAATGAAAAGCTCGTGTACACAAGTCCACGACGTAATGTTATGCCGGTAGAGGTGCAAGAATGCTTCTTCGTCATTCACTTTCCATTCTCCGATAATTTTTAAATTCTCTCTTTTCTCGTCAACCAAGTAAGCTAGATATTTAAATGTGGTGTCAAATGTTCTCTTAAGGGGTAAGGAAGTTAATGGTGTATTTGAAATAACAGAATATTTTATTTTAAAAAATCCATAATTTAACCTTTTATTTAGTACGTAGCCTAAGAAAATCTACTAGGCCCTATCTGAAGTATCTGTTTTAATTTTATTACTACTAGATCTATATACTATACGTACAGAAAAAGTTAGCCCATGGCAAACAAACATTTAAAAAATAGGAAAATAAAATGACTAGATCTAGCTTACCAAGCTTAATAGAAATGATTTGACAAGGTTAAATATAGCTCGTGCGGTGCCGACTTCTGCTGTACAACTTTCCTATCCCTTCAACCTCTGCCGGAAACTGACTTCCACTTACTTCGCACACTACACGTAAACAAATAGTCCCTAGATCTAATTCACAGATAACAAACAATACGCCACGAAACATACGACAGAATTATACAAAAAGACATTTTATATAGATCTAACATTGACAACAATATAACAAAATATATACAAACTAAACGTAGACAGCAACATAAACAATTATACAGCGGCGCCATAATACAGGACTACATAACTAAAAAAAAGAAGAAAATAATAAAATTTTTATTAAATACAAAAAAAAGTTTTTAAAAAAATTTCATAAAAAACGTTTTAATAGCAAGCTTTTATGTAATAATGCACTAAAAAGTAGAAAATAAATTATAGACTACTATTTAAATAACTAAAAAGAAAAGCGTGGGTCACTTTAGTATCTATTGGATACCTTCACAAATGTTTAGGAAGACACCCACGCTTTTCTTTCTAGTTATTTAAATAGTAGTCTATAATTTATTTTCTACTTTTTAGTGCATTATTACATAAAAGCTTGTTATTAAAACGTTTTTTTATGAAATTTTTTGTCAGTACTTTACAGGTTTTATTTACAATAGAGTTACACTAGGCATGCTGCCTAGCTTCGCTTAGGTTTCCAAAGACATTGAGAATTTGAATGCTTAATTAATTAGTGATTTGCTGTTATGTGTAGTGCTCATATAAGGCGCTGGTCAGTCTTCGTAGACTTTTAGACCAACCGGCACTGGCCCCCGTGTCCTGTCGCACCAAGGCAGAATCCTGCCAAATTTGAAGCGACTGCGGCGCGGAGAAGTACCCGACAACTTTGCTTTATATATATAGGTTAGCAAATTGCATAGCTAAACAAAGATTTCAATAAGTTAATTAAAGCCTGAAATAGTTTTGTATTGACATTTATTATTTGAGTAGTTTCTAGATCTAGGTAGGGCCTGGTAGGGTCTAGATCTAAGTCTAGTTTCTCCGTAGATCTAGATAATCTAGATCTAGAATATCTAAATCTAGATCTAGAATATCTAGCGTCTGCGTCTAATTTTTTTTCTAGATTTTAGAAGATCTAGATCTAGAATCCAAATAGATAAAGTTAATTTTATAAGCTTAAGCCGAGAAAATTGTATTGTATAGATCTAGATTTCATAGCGTACGTAGATATAGATCTAAACCAAAGTTGAATGAAATGGTTCCTTTCTTTCTAAACTCGGTAGATGACGTCATTAGTTTCGTGCTCTATTAGTGTAAACAATAGGCGACGTCATTGTTAAATGCGTTCTTTTTCACAACCATTTACGTTTTTCCTGTTGCATAAATAACACTGTTTTTTTACATTCGAATACGCCTTTATTTTTTTATTTTTCTTCTTTAAATACAATTGTCGTTATACATTTAAAACACGTATTATATTATTTTCAACAAAATTCCGTATCAAGTTCTCAATATCGCTTTAGATTCTGATATGATGTCCGGCGAAAATATTTTGCGGACAGAGAGAGAGAGAGAGAGAGAGAGAGAGAGAGGGGGAGAGAGAGAGAAGTGCGCACGGGGCCTTTTATATATTAGGATGACTAAAAACCATTGCGCGCCTACTGAACGTGATGGCGCAGCCATTGAACGTGATGGCGCAGCTATTGAACGTGATGACGCGTGTAGTGTGGTTGGGTAGACATGCCTACTAATTCGGTCCAAATTTTAATTAATTCATAAAAAATTAATTAGGCATCCAATTAAGTCAAATTTAATTTCAGATTGCATTGTCTTCATGTCTTGACTTACGTGTCAAATGTGAATCGTATCGGTCAAGTAGAAGTGACCGAATTTTCACTCCTGCGTTTCGGTCTAGACTGACGACTGACGACAGACTGACGAGGAAGTGAGTTAAATAAAAGCTTGTAAAAAAAATTCATAAAAAACGTTTTAATAACAAGCTTTTATGTAATAATGCACTAAAAAGTAGAAAATAAATTAAAGACTACTATTTAAATAGCTATAAAGAAAAGCGTTCTGGGCTCCACAGGTAGGTTATGTCTTGGCCAAATTGTTCATGGGTATTTGTGACCACTTGGTGAAGGGGTTGCACGATGGTTGCAAAACCCGTAACAAACCTTCAGTAGTAGCTGGCAAGGCCCAAGAAGGGACGGAGTTCTTTTATGGTGTTTGGGGGCTGCCACTCGCTGATTGCCGTTATCTTCTCTGGGTCAGTCTTCTCGCCATCCTTGGACACCGCATGTCCCAGGTAGTGCACGCTCTCCGCCCCAAACACACATTTCTCAGCTTTAAGTATGAGGCCGATATCCCTCAGCCGTGCGAGTATCGTGCGCAGGTTGGCCAGGTGTGAGGTGAAGTCTGGGGCATATATCAAGATGTCATCCAGATAGGCCAGCATGATTCTAATGATGTGCTCACTCATTACCCCCTGCATTAATCTGGAAAAAGTCTGGACTGCTCCACATAGACAAAATGACATTCTGGTCCACTGGTACAGACCAAAGGGCGTTACGAAGGCAGTCTTTTCCTTGTCCTCTTCAGCCATGGCAACCTGGTGGTAGCCACTGGTTAAGTCCAGCGTGGAGAAGAAGGTCGACCCAGCCAGGGCATCCAAAGTTTCATCAATTCTGGGCAGCGGTAACGCATCTTTCCGGGTTATGCTATTCAGCCTCCTGTAATCGCAACATAACCGGATCTCGCCATTCTTCTTCTTTACAATGACCATTGGAGCTGCATTGGGGCTGGTGCTGGGTTGGATAATGCCCCTGGTAGTCAACTTTTCTATGTGTTCTTTAACTGCAGCGAACTCTGTAGGCGGAAGCCGGCGGTAGGGCAACGCCACTGGTACGTCGCTGGTTAGTGGGATGCTGTGTTTTATCTCTTAAAACCCAACTGGTCGTCCATCCAAACAAAGACGTCTGTGAATTCCCGGAGTAATTTCTCCAGAAACGCCCGCTGTGGTGGATCCAGGGTTTCTGCCATCCGGCTGGAAAATGAAGGCTCTGATGTGAAAGGGTCAGTCGCGGTTGACAGGGACGAATCTACGACCACCTCAGCCGCTAGAGAGTTAACCCTCTACTACAGGTTTGGAGGGACCAGCTCGAGCGGGTGGATCGTGGCTAGACAGGTCCTACTGGAGATGTAGACGGGCTCCCCAGACAGGTTGGCCACCTGTACTTTGGTCCACAACGTACAAAATGACCCCAATGACACATCCTCCTTTTGTATTCATTGTTTTTTTCTGTAAATTTATACTTACAATTGTTTTGTTAACTTTAATAACGTATATGGTCTTATTTGAACTCTTTTATGAGAAAATTTCCCCCAACCCACCCCAACACTTTCGTCTCGTTTGTATTCATATTCTTTGGTATTTACTATGTTTATTGTACAGAATGGGATGAAATCCACGCAAATCAGCTTTGTTTTCGACTATTCTTCCATAAGTTATACTCTTTCACCACTTTTGTTTGCAAAAATGTTCCAAACCAGCCTCTGTCCTTTTTTTAACCTACAAGCTTTAAATTCAATGTATCTTATGCATTCCTTTACTTATTTCGCTATTTATTTACTATACTCTGTACATCAATGTAACTACCTAGTAAATATCCACCCAAGCGGCGTGGAATGTTACAGGTCTATTTATAATGGTTTGGAAAGGGAAGAAGGTATAGAAATAGGCCTGTAGTTATTTGGGTCTTGGGTGTTACTCTTTATGTGTAGTGGTATAATCTTTGAATACTCAAAATGTTTTGGATAATAGCTTGGCTATGCAGAGATTTCTGGAGCTGAAATCTTCAATACTTTGTTAGAAATGTCATCAAATAAAGACACTTAGTTTCTTAATATTATTATCAGCAACGGATATCTTAACTTTATTTTTAGAAGATTATATTAGTTTTTCATAGAAGTCAAGATATAGAAAGACTTCGTTGTCTTCAATAATCAAATAGAAAATATTTCAAATATGGCAAAATTTTAATTTTAGTCCATGTTTTGAGGGCTTTTCAAAGATGAAAACTGACAGTGCATAATTTTTGTAAAACACATGTTAGTAAAGCTAATAAAGAGCAATGGATTTGAGATTATACAAAACGTTAAAATCAAGATAAATTAAAAACGTTAAAACCAAGGTAAATTAAAACAGATTCGATATATCAGTCTTAATCTATCATTTTGTCACACAATTACACAAACTTATCGCCTCTAACTATACCTTATTTTTCCTCTCTCTCTCTCTCTCTCTCTCTCTCTCTCTCTCTCTCTCTCTCTCTCTCTCTCTCTCTCTCTCTATATATATATATATATATATATATATATATATATATATATCAAACTATTACATATATTTATATGTACAATTGTAGATTATATATAAAACATTTTGATGTTGTAAGTTGTCCGTATTTTAAAAAAAAAACATATATATATATACATTTAAATAAAGTATAAAAAGTATACTAATACATGGAATACATAAAATTATAAGTGAGAAACAACGATTCTATGAAAAAACTTAAATGAATATAACATATAAACATATATGTCCATAACATGTATGTCTGAAACTACCGTGTACAAGATCCATTTTGCAACAAAACCGTCATCAAACCTACCATGGTGTATATATAAATATACAAGGTAATCTTAAAGTATGTGCCTTGATATGCGAAATTCTGACAGGGTCTCATTGTATTGTTTTCATTGTATCTAAACATGTAGGTTTGATTTTGTTGTCATTTTAAAACTTGTATTAGGAATTCAAGTGATGTTTTCTTGAATATGAAAGACTGGCCAGGTCTTGTGTTGTTTCTTTTGCTTTTAACATATATATCTTTGTGGCGTCAAATGAAGATAAATAAATGTATTAACTGTGTATTACTTAGTTTTAGTTAATACTAGCCGTCCCGGCCAGGCCCTGCTCTGGCTTCTGTGAAAAACCTTTCTGTTAAAGACCATTACCTGTGTGTTTAGTAATCATCATAAACCCGGCATTGCCCACCCAAACCACAA